AAACTTTTTGCCTTGAATTGAAGAAGTTGGCAGACAAAGTAGCGCCTCATCATTTCATTGAGGTCAGATGTGATGTTATGTCTCCGTGGTTTGACGAGGAGTGCAGAATATTTAAAAGACACTGTCAAAAAAGGAACGAGAATATAGAAAATGTTTAGTGGGACTCATCAGTAGCCCGACTAACCATACCTGCAGAATCACATACCTGTGGATTCAAGTCGACTCACTTTATATATATATATATATATTATTGGTAATATTGGTAAACCATTACCCGCCATAGGCCATTCGTACGTTTCATATATATATATATATATATATATATATATATATATATATATATATATATATATATATATATATATAAGCCTATTAAAGCATAGCAAACAAAATACAACAAAACAAATCATTAAAACATTAGTTATAAATTAAATAAAAACATAAAATTTAATGAACAAAATTGAAATATAATATCTTGTAATATAAAAAAGCAAAAAAAATTGTTATCTTTTAAATTAATAACTCCTTTTTTTGAAACCAACTAAAGTTAATAAAGTTTTAACGTCAAAAGATAATGATGACCATAATTTGATTCTATAAATAAAGATAGAATGAGAAAATAGAACTGTTCTAAAATTAGATACATAAAAATCAGGTGTACGTCATGTTATTAATAGCAATTATTAAAGAATTTATTATTTTAAGGGGCGGAGGCGGGTAGCTTCGGGTTGATGGCTAACCCTAACCCATCCATCTAAGAGAAAATAAACTCTGATTTCAAACCTCCACTGCCTTGTGGGTATACCCTTTCTTGAGAAAACCTAAGGGAGTAAACTCTAACAGAAAATCAGGCGTGGTAGTACGTCTTTAAGACGATATGGTTGCCTCAACCTCTACTCGGCTTGCTACCTACCCACGGCCGGCTGTGATAAGCGGACTACGGCGAACAACCTTGTTTATGCTCCTACTTTGCGTCCCGTGCTGGAGCCCACCCGCTTAATCTGCGAGGCACCACCAGGATCGGCTCTTGAAACATTCGCTCACTTTGCGCAACAGGTGGCGGAAAGATCCTCATGGATGAGTTGTCGCAATACGGTATATGCATTATGGGCCTGTAGGAAGTTCGATGGCATGGCACTGGTAAACTACGTATTGCTGATTTCAATATACTGTGGTCGGGCCCAGCTGAGGGTCATCCCAAGCTTGCTGGCGTTGCCTTGGCCCTGACAAGAACAATCAGACTAATCGTGCGCTGATTGAATGCCACCCGATCAGTGAAAGGCTGATGGTTGCTCGTTTCAGACATCGATATGGTGCTGTGTCAGTGATTGTCTGCTACGCACCAACTAATGAGGCGACGGCTGAAACCAAAGATCTCTTTTACAGCGATGAAGGACTCGTTCCACCGACCTTATTATTTGCCTGGGCGACTTTAACGCGGTAAAGGGTGTTGACCGCCGTATACCTGCGGTAGTTGGCCTCTTTGGTAGTAACGTAAGTGGAAAGCTTGAGAGATGGCGAGAATACTATATTCAGTTGTTCAACCGTCCAATGTCGACGCCCTCGCAGGAATTGCTGAATTTGCTAAATCCACTGCCCCGGATCCCGTTGACACTGAACTTTCTTCTGTAGCTGAGATTGTCGCGGCTAAAGAACGCTAAAGAACGGCAAGACAAAGGGCCTGTGCAACATTCATCCGGGAACGCTTAAATCAGGTGGACCTGTGTGTGCTAGTTGGTTGCACTTCGTCATCACTCGGGTGTGGCAGTCCGATGCGGTCCCGGATGATTGGAAGAAAAGTATCATCATTTCGTCTTACAAGGGTAAAGGATCGTGCCGTGAATGTAAAAACTATAGAAGCATCACTTTGCTGTCAGTTCCAGGCAAGATGTTTGCTCGCGTCTTTCTTGATCGCATCCGTCCTCTCTTGCTGCCCGGCTTCACGCCTGATAGGTCTACCATCAACAGGATATTCACGCTATCACTCCTTCTATAGACTAGACATGAATTTGGTAGACCTCTCTGGATTGCCTAGGTTGACTTGGAAGCGGCTTTTGATTCAGTCAACAGGAATGGTATGTGGCTGTTGTTCCGTGGTCTGGGCATCCCCGATCACTTGGTAAAACTGCTTAAGGCTTTATACACCCACACCTTGAGCTGTGTTAGATTGGAGAGGCGATGCTCTCGGTGGTTCGAGATTGATAGCGGCATCAGACAGGGCTGTATACTTGCGCTGGATGAGTTTTTGGCCTCGATGGATTGGATCATGGAATGTTACGTACACAAAGGTATGCTCGGCGCCACAATTGGCAAGGAGATGTTCACGGACCTGGACTATGCAGATGATGTCGCTCTGCTGGCTGAGATGCGAGATGTTCTCACTCTGTCGTTGGCTACTATGTCCGAGGAGGCAAAGCCTTTTGGTTTAGAAATCAACTGGGACAAAACGAAAATTCAGGGGTGATCTTTCTGGGCGACGACGTACAGACTGTTTCGTTTCCATATCTCGGCTCCCAAATACACTCGTCAGGTAGTAGTGACGCTAAAATTTCGCGTCGAATCATCATTGTCCGCCCGTGTATGAGGTTCCTGAATCGTGGTATATGGCGCTCGTATATTTCGGTTACGACCAAAGTTCGATTGTACAACGCATACATCATTCCCGTACTGCTCTATGGATGCGAAGCGTGGTCAACTACTGGCGCTTATTTGAAGAAGCTAGACGCTACAGATCAATGGTGTTGCCTGACCTACCGCGATCGCGTAACCAATGTTGAAATGAGAGGAAGAACACAGCAGCCTTCAGTTTCCTTACTTCTGTTCAGGCGTCGTCTAAACTTTTTTGGTCACATAGCTCGTGCCAGTGCTATGGAGGATCATTACCGGGCTTTAACAGCTGCCCTAGACCAACCGCCACCGGACTAGACTCCACCGTGCGGCCGTCCAAGACAGTCACGGATCTGCTCAGTAGAGAAGGACCTGTCCCTCATCAACTACGGTCGGTACTTGGCCTGGAGACTTGCTCATGATCGCTTGAAATGGAGGCACCTTGTAAACACGGAAAGTCTCGTTATGGGGCACGCCCATAATAATAATAATAATAATAATAACTTTTGTTAAGGAAAGATTTATGCAATGTGAAAGAGTGAAAGAGAAATAATTATTGATGTCATGGTTTGTTTACTTAGAAAATTGGAAAAAGATCATCATCCTGAAAAATGGTATTTTTCAAGTTTAATATAAAATTTTTTATTTTATCTATTGCGACATAAGGAATATCGCTATAAATAATTCCAGATTTGAAATCAGAAAAATATTTTGTGAAAATATTGTCTTATAATGTTGAGGTGGAATTTTTAATTCGAGTTGGCTCGGTAATTAATGGTAAAAAATTTATCGAGCTCAATGAGTTTAAAAAGTGTAAGGAAATGTTACGATGATCATCATTCAATAAATCGATATTGAAATCACCTGTTACATATATGAGTTTGTCATGTAACTTTGATTGAGCATCATTGAGAAGTGCGACAATATAATCGATAAACAGATTGGGATCTGTATTAGGAGGACGACATACAACAAACAAGATAATATTCGATGACCTTTCAAAAATCAATTCAACTGCCATTATTTCAAAGTCAAAATTGTTGGCATCAGGGCACAAATAATCCCTTAAAACAAAAAATAATTCTTTCTTAACAAAAACCTACGCCTCCACCTTGAGTTTTACGCTTTCTCTTTATATAGACAAAATCGTAATTAGTAAAGAAACCAAGTCACCATTATCATAGTTTAGCCAAGTTTCCGTAATCGCTATAACATTTAGATTAATATCATGATTTGCTAGTAATTCTTTATTAATCTTAAAAAATAAGCTACGTGTATTTATGTGTAATAAACTAAAGTTTACGGGCGAAAATGATGGGGTGAAAATGTTTTTTTTACATGATTAGCATAATAATAGTTCGACTTACATGAAAATTTAAATAAGTTTTCGAATTCACAATCCAATTCAGATATCGAAATATCGAATTAGCAATATTTATTGTCTTCCATCACGTTAGATTTTATTAGTTGCAATAACAGGGTTGGTTCTATCATTACATTCATCATATATCCGCACCACTTTGAAATCATTGCGTCGACAGGCCAAATTTGTCTTCGTACATCGAATTGATGATAACATTGAATGAAGTTGACGTGGAGACCACTTTTGGTTTAGGTGGATTTTGATCTTTATTAGATTTTTGATACAGCGGGAAACACGACAAAACATTTATGCCTTGAGTGGCTGCATGATCAACAACATTTTGCATTGTACATTTCTGCAGGTTGTCAATATGAAAACAACTTTTTTTGACAATTTTGTTATTGGCTTTAATAATTGAATCAGTTACAACAAATTTACCCGTGATTGGTTTCGTAATTTGATTTTTACTCTGAAAATTTGTCGCGTAATTAGGATTTATTCGTTGACTTTTTTTATTTTAAACCAGTGTAAAACCATCGTCTGGTCGTCTGGAGTACTTGCACAATCAGACCAAAGCTGCGTCGGTCTTGGAACATTTTTTCCTTTTTGTTCCAACAACTTGGAAGAATTATCAATTAACAATTTCTTTGACTCCAAAATTAATAAATTCGAATACCAGCTTTACAAATTTTCTTCCATGTAGACCGATCTTTTGTTATTTTTTTCAACAAAATGTTATTGGTGTTGGCTTTATAAAATTTTGTCTTTAAATTTCGAAATAATTTCGGACTTAATTACATTTTTCGGATTTTTTGTGTGTGTTATATGTTATCTATAAGTTTGGTTTGCAAACTATCAATTATTTTTGAGTATTAGCATTGTTATTAAATATAGTCACTAAGTTAGGGTTAGGCGCACGACTAGAGGGGTTGTGAGTTAATACCTTGTGCTACAAGGAATCACCCGGTCACTTTTTGTATTTGTTGTGGGTGTGTTTTGTTTTGTTATTTGTTTTGCACTTGAGTTTGAGATGGAGACTACAACAAGCGAAAAAAGAGGTAGAGGGAATAAAACGGTGTTGGTAAAAGAGGTGACTTGCGTTGTATGTAATGGTTCATTTCCATATAAAACCGTTGAACTTACTGATGAATTGATGGGAAAAGTTAGTGAGATTCCAAATTTCAGCTGGAGCTGTGATGATTGTCTGATTCACGTTAAGAATTTAAAGGTATACAATGAGTTGAATGCTAAGCAAAGGGAAATGAAGGAGGAACTGGTTGGGTTAAAAGTTAAAAGTAATGAGATGGTGAAGGAAATTTCAGTCTTATCCGATAAAAATGAGAAAAAATTTATAGCACTGCAAAGTGCAATTGTTGACATTTCTAAAGATTTAAAAGCTTCTCTCAATAAAAGTTGGGCTGAAGTTGCAGGTGAGATGAAAAACAAAGTACAGGAGGTTAATAGAGAAGTGTCAACAATTTGTAAGACTATTGAAAAAACAAGTGATGGTATTAAAATTAATAATGATTTGGAGGAGAGAATGCATAACATTATTATATATCAGCTGAAGCAATGTAAAGACAATGATAAGGTTATTTGCAACAGCCATGATAGAAAGCAGATTTTAGAGATATGTTCTCAATTATCTGATGGTTACATTAAAGAGAGCAGCATAAAGTCTATTTTTAGACTGGGTGTAAGAAGTGATAAGGTTAGACCAGTCATGGTTAAATTTTATGACAAAAGAGATAGAAATATTGTCATGGAAAACCTTAAGAAAATTAAAGGATTGAGCAGTAGTTTGAGGTGCATTGGAGTTAATTATGACCTAAACAAAGAGCAGCGGGACGTTTTCTCGGTGGTTTTGTGATTTGGGTGGATTCTTGTTTTTTTCTTCTGAACAAGTGAGTTCTCTTCTTTTTTACTATGACTATTTTTTTCTATATCTTTCTACATCTTTTTCTTTAACTAGTAAATATTATTATGTCTTATTCTAGAGACTTTCTCCTAAGCCTCTCTAACACTACTTTGTCTCCGACGAGAGTAGTTCGGCGGCGAATTTTTTACTTTAATCTTAGGTCTAATAATAACAATAAATCTAACTCTTACAAAAAAATAAATATAGTTAGTAACCATAATTATATTAATAATAATAATGCTAATAGCAAGTATAATAAGAATAATTTTATTAAATCCCACTCTAATGTAATTAATACTAATGATAAGAATAATAATTCTAATTCTATTAGTTTAAATAATATAACTAGATTTAAAAGTACCAATATCCAACCTACCTCTACATTTTCACTGTTTAATATTAACATAAGATCAATTAATAAAAAATCGCTCTATGTCCATCAAATAATCTCTTCTTCCTTACCTGATTTTTTTACTCTTACTGAAACTTGGCACGAGGACTCTAACTCTCCCTCTCTTATTCTTGCTACTCCTGATGGTTACAGCTTCCTTGAACTCTCTAGACCTCCAAAAAATCTTCTATCATCTTCTCATTCTTCTTATGGGGGGTATCTGTATATTTTATAAATCTCTATTTACTGCTTCCATTAATACTTCTTTTAATTTTTCTTCTTTTGAATGTCTTGCTGTATCTCTTAAGTTTTCTTCTCTATCTTTTTATATTGCTGTAATCTATCGCCTTCCTTCTTCTTCTCTCACTTTATTTTTAGATGAATTCTACTCACACGCTGAATCTCTCTACTCTTTTTCTATTTCTTTCTACATCTCTGGTGATTTCAACTTGCACTTCAATAATTTATCATGTTCCTACACTCGTAGATTTAATGATATTTTGTCTCTTTTTAACTTAACTCAATATTGTTCTTTTTCTACTCATACTTCTGGTAACACTATTGATTTTATTATAGCTTCATCTTTTTCTAAGCCTATTAATATTTCTGCTAGCTCTGTCCCTTATTCTGATCACCTTCTTATTGAATCTGTTTTTTCATTAGATTTTCTTCCTTCAAATTCATCTATGTCTATTTCTAAAAGATGCTGGTCTTCTCTTAATAAAGATATTTTTCTTCAATCTCTTACTGAAACTATCTTTGATACCACCTTATTTTCTGATGTTGATGATTTTGTCTATGCTTTTAATATCTACATTACTTCTATTCTTGATAAGCTTATTCCTCTTAAATCTTTTACTTATAGGCTCTATTCTCGTAAGGCTCCTTGGTTTGATTATGCTTGTGTAGTAGCCAAGAAAAGTGTTAGAAGACTGGAGAAAGCCTATAGGTTAAATCCGTCTGACTCTCTTTATTCTATCTATGAATCTGAATTGATTAACTATAAATATCTACTATTCTCTAAACACTACTTTTCTTAGAAATTCTATAACATCTGCTTCAACATCTAAAAATAGGTGGTCTGTTCTATCTAAACTTCTACATAAAAAATCCTCTCACTCATCTTTTTCTGCTCAACAGTTTCATGACTTTTTTGTAAATAAAATTACTTCTTTAAGAACATCTAATTCTAATTTTTCTTCTCATAACTTTACAGAACTTACAATTGAATCTTTTTCTGTATTTATTCCAATAAATCTTTTAGAACTAACTAAAATTATTAATTTTATGTCGTCTACAACCTGTTCTCTTGATCTACTTCCGTTTGCGGTGGTTTGGTCATGTCAAACAAAGTGGAAACAGTGCCATAACTTCTCTTGCAGATGTTGAAGTACTTAGCACACGTCCCAAAGGCCGTCAAAGAAGTCCTGGTCGCAAACAATCGAGCAAGACATGAAAGCTCTAAATTTAAATGAAATTGATACAACTGATCGTCTAATTTGGCTCAAAAAGTTGATGGCAAAGAAAACAACGTCCTACCTCGGGAAACCGGGTCTCTGGACGCAAAACGAAGATTGATTGATTGATTTTATCCAATCATTCTCAAATTAGTTAATTTATCTCTTTCCACCTCTAAATTTCCTACTTCTTATAAGAATTCTATTGTTATTCCTATTCTTAAAAACTCATCCTTAGATCCTACCTCTTTATCTAATTATAGACCTGTAACTAATATTACTTTCATCTCTAAAATAATAGAAAAAGTAGTTTTTAATCAACTGTCATTCTATTTTGACTTTAACTCCTTGCTACCTGTATCTCAATCTGGTTTCACACCTGCTCACAGTACTGAAACTTCTTTACTTAAAATACACAATGATATCCTTCTCTCTAGTGACAATAGTAATCTTACTCTTCTTCTTGCTCTTGACTTTTCCTCGGCTTTTGATACTGTTGACCATACTATTCTCTTGAGGCTGCTGCATCTTTCTTTTAATATTACTGATTCTTGTCTATCTTGGTTTTCTTCTTATCCCTGTAATCGTTTTTCTTCTGGTGTTTTCAATAATTCTACTTCTAACTCCTCTACTCTTACTTTCGGGTACCTCAGGGTTCTATCCTTGACCCTCTTCTATTTATACTCTATACTTCTGAACTACCTCGTATTACTAATAACTTTTCTTTCTCTAGTCAACTATATGCTGATGATTCTTATATTTATACTTCTTTTCCTCCATCTAATCTCAATAGTGTTCTTCATAATTTATCTCTATGTCTTTCTTCAATTATCGCTTGGTCTGACTCTATGCTTCTTAAACTTAATCCTTCTAAGTTTGAATTAATTTGTTTTAATAAATCTAAACACTCTATTACTATTCCTCCTATTATCTTACCTGATTCTAAAACTCTTGATGTCTCTCATAAGTTTCGTAGTCTAGGTTTTATCTTTGATTCTACTATGTCTCTCTCTTCTCAGATTAATAGTGTTGCCAGAAGCTCTTACTTTCATCTACGTAGAATAAAAAAACTTTTGCCTTTTTTTGATGATCCTACTCTTCTCCTTCTTGTTACTTCGTTAGTCTTATCTAGGATTGATTATTGTAACTCGCTCTACTATGGGTGTTCCTGACTCTACTCTATCCTTTAAGTAAAGCTTTTAACTCTGCTGCTCGTCTAGTTGCTCGTGCCCCTTTCTTTTCTCATATATCTCCATATCCTGTTCTCTTGCACTGGCTACCTATAAAATATAGAATAATTTTAAAAATTTGCACGTTCATGTATAAGTCTCAATCTAAATTATTTCCTAAGTATTTATCAGATATATTAATTGAACCTAAACGCCCCGGTTTACGATCGTCTTCTTCTTCTCGCTTTTTCTTAACTCGTGTTAAACACTCTTTTGCCAAATCTGCTTTTGCTTTTTCTGGTCCTTTTCTCTGGAACTCTCTACCTACTTCTCTGACTACTTCTCCATCACTTGCAAAGTTCAGAGCGGATCTCAAGACCCATCTGTTTTCAAAATTCATTGAGGAGCGCTGTTGAACATCGCGGAAATAGCGCGTTATAAGCTAATTGATTGATTGATTGATTGATTGAATGATTGATTGATTGATCGATCGATTGATTTGATTGATTGATTGATTGATTGATTGATTGATTGATTGATTGAACGAACGATCGAACGAACGAACGATGGATTGATTGATTGATTGATTGATTGATTGATTGATTGATTGATTGATTGATTGATTGGTTGATTGGTTGGTTGGTTGGTTGGTTGATTGATTGATTGATTGATTGATTGATTGATTGATTGATTGATTGATTGATTGATTGATTGATTGATTGATTGATTGATTGATTGATTGATTGATTGATTGATTGATTGATTGATTGATTGATTGATTGATTGATTGATTGATTGATTGATTGATTGATTGATTGATTGATTGATTGATTGATTGATTGATTGATTGATTGATTGATTGATTGATTGATTGATTGATTGATTGATTGATTGATTGATTGATTGATTGATTGATTGATTGATTGATTGATTGATCTTGCCCGCAGTAGAGAGCAAGGATATGCCACGACTGTTACCACACGATTGTCTATGCTGGAATGCCGTCTGGTTCTGTCGTTTTGTTAATTTTCATTTTCTTGGTGGCTGACATAACCTCATCGAATACTGGAGGGTTATCAAGCTCAGCAACAGCCGGGAGTTTTGGAAGGAATTTTTTTATAAATATAAGGTTCACCGGGTTGACGCAGTTCAACAAATCACCGAAGTGCTCGGCCCAACGTGAAACGATTCCCTCAAAGCCTCTGATCACTGCAAGACCATCTTTTGACTTAATTGGATGAACTGAGTGCTGGGCCGGTTCATAGACAGACTTGAGAGAGTTGTAAAATTTTTGCATATTTTTTGTATCCGCTAATCTTTGTAGTTTCCTAGCTTTCTTTGTCCACCAATCGTTTTCCATGCAGCGCAGCATTTGCCGAACCTTTGTACGTGATTCATTCCATGCAAGATTAAGACTTGGTGTGTCTGGATTGCTAAACCTATTTTTATGGGCTTTATTCTTTGTTTGCATATGATCAAGAATGCCAGGTCAATTCTCATCAAACCAGTCTTGATGCTTTTTTGCAAAAAACCCAAGAAACTTTGTAGCTGGTGACAGTATGCAGGAGCTGATTAATGATAATTTATTGGTCACTGAAGTTTCACCAGTAGGTTGCTGAGATACACTGGACAGCTCAGTTTGTTGTGTATGTTTAAAGAATTTTTCCTAAAGTTTTTTCCTGCACTGTCAGATTTTGGCAAGCCCTAATGTTCACCTTTTTACCTGAACCCTGTCTACAAGTTGGTGGGGTAAGTTTAATTGCAAATTTTGATACAATCAGTCCAACACTCTGCGCCTCTTATAACTCGTGTCTGATTGACGTCGGCGAAATCGCGTTGTCTGGTTGTAATATAGTCCAAGAGATGCCAGTGCTTAGACCGTCGGTGCATCCAGGTAGCCTTTCTTTAATTACGCTGCTGGAAAAGGGTGTTAATAATGACTTATCCAAATTCCGCACAAAGATAGATGAGTCTGATTCCCTTACTGCTTGCGCTTCCCTGACCAACCCTTGCGTTGAAATCGCCAAGAACTACAATTTTGTCATCTTTATGTATTCTCTGAAGAGTGGTACGAAGGCATTCTTAAAACATATCTTTTGCCAATTTTTCTGCGTCATGAGTTGGGGCGTAAGCACTTAGGATAGTCATGTGACAATTTTTTGCAAGCGGAATGCGCATGAACGTAAGTCTTTTGTTAACCCCGACTGGAACTTCAGTAATGTTTTTGAGTAAGTTTGTATGGACAGCAAAACCAACACCATGGATCCGCGGATCTTTGCCTGATGAACCCCTATAAAAATGTGTATCCTGTACCCACTTCAACCAGAGATCTTTTGTCCGACAGACGGGTTTTAGACAGTGCAGCAATGTCAATTTAATATCTGCCCAGCTCGAGGACAATAAAAGCAGTGCGCCGCGCAGATCGTTCCGTAATAGTTTGGTCCAAAAGCATTCCAACGTTCAAGGTCGCAAATCAAATAGGTAAACGATTAAATTTTTTTTTTACCGCTAAGGAAGATAACCAATAAGCGCGGTTACCCATTTGAAAAAAGGTTGGGAACAAGCAATTTTTAGGCCACCTTTTTTAGGCCTTTCCTCGTTCGAAATGAGTAGTGTTAGTCTTAAATAGAGTTGTTCAGTCACCCCGGAAGCTGCCGAAGAAATTTGTTATTTTCTTTTTCAAGTCTCAGCCACCATCACTCCAGAATCGCCTGCGTGCAGCACACAGACTAGAGGCTTCCAATTCCGTCTTGAATCTATCTTCGTCACCTGTGTAACCTTCGCCGCAGGTCTTTAAAAGGTCTCCTGCCACCGGTAATAGTGCGCAAAACAGACGCAGGAAAATTTTAACGTAAGGAAGTCGCGAAAGCTCTCGGCCCATAAAACTTTGTTGCAGCCATCTGAACCCAGTGGCATGGACAGTCTCCAAGACGGCTAGAGAAGATTATAACTGCAGAGACCTACCGGTTGATTCTAATTGATGAATGCCGCCTGACGCGTGGTCTCAGCGTGGGTTTGCAATAAGAGTTTTCCTTCTCCTAGACAATGTGCTATCTTTAGCTTCAAACTCCATCCACCCGGGTTTTGTTATCGGAGTGTACCTTCTCCGGGTTTTGAAATCAGTTAACCTTTTCTTAAGACGTTTGATAACCGGGTGCTGTCAACCCGGGTCATCTGGTTTAAGCACCAGGAACTCGCTTTCGCCCTTTTTGCTGTTAGCATTACCAATAAGAAGCGAAAAGGACGCCAGCAGCTGGACTTTAAGAGCAGAGCCTGTGTCAGGTGGGCATTTCCCGTGATATATAGCTGCACAACTGACCAATGCAATGCAGCCACTGGAACCCATACCCCATTTTTGCACTATATATATATATATATATATGTATATATAGTTTTTAAAAAAATCAACCGCGTTGATACAATTATTATATTTATACATTAATTTTTCAAGTTTTCTAATTAAAATTTTATTATAGATATTTAATTTATTAAGTAAAAAACTAAAATTATTATTGTTCATGTTTATTAAAATAAATAATTGCAGAAAGCTTTTTCGATATAAAATATATCATCGTCAGTGCAAAATATTTTAAATAATAACGAAAATTACCGTTTATAAAAAAATGACGTCATACCGTATAACTTAATTTTAAGCGCGAAACATTTTTGAAAATACTATTATTAATTATTATATACTATATATTTAACATATTGATAAAATTAACTAAAATTATTTACATAGATATATATTAGAATTAAACAAAATAAATTAAAATTAAAATTTTAAAATTGCTGAAAAAACGACCATAAAGTAAATCAACAAATAAAAAACATTACTGACTGAAAGTCATGTTTGAATTTATTGCAATCGTCATTTAAAAGATCCCCTACTAAGTAAATTCTGTTTTTGCGAGAACCAATTTTACATAGCGAACTCATTTGTTCCAATCATAAAGTCACCAATCTGTTTTACTAATTCAACTTCCACGCTCATTGATAACATTTTTTCCATTTTTCCAATACTTTTGAAAGCCATGAATCGGGTATCATTTATGCAGACTTGTTGGATCATCCCCCAATATTTGTTCTTCCTCCAATAAGCATGCAAATGTTTCTTCAAAAGTACAATATGTACCTAGTTTAAAACAAAGAAATCTTTTGAACCTAAATAATTATTTAGCTAATGTTGATTGGAAAATATTCAACTCCCTTGGTTTAAATGACTACACAGAAAACTTTTTGAATATTTTGAATGAAGCAATTTTAAAAACCTGTCCAAAACGTGCATTAAGACCTTATAGAATAATGAGTCCTTTGTTGATTAAAGTGATTTTAAAGTCATTTAAAATTTTAAATCTAAACTGTACTCACGTTACTTTAAAAATCCTAATAAATACAATTATTCAATCTATAAAAATTATAGAAACAAATTACATGCATTAATAAAATTTTCGGAAAAAAATATTATATTGATATTTTTGAAAAAAATTAAACAAAATACAAAAAATATTTGGAAAACAATCAATAATTGAATCGCTCGCACGGACAAGCACATCGTAACTGAATTACTCCACGATGGCATGACAATAAATGAGCCATTTGCGATATGTGAAGCGTTTAATAAATATTTTGCTTCTTGCGTCGTTGATGATGATAATTTCATTGAGTACAATAATACTAACTCGTTCGATCAGTAATTCCATCTATTTTGACGACATAAGTGTTACTGAAATTGTCAAACAAGTTTTCAGTTTGAAAAACTCTCAGTCGTGTGGCCAAATGTATCTCGGTAATGTGGTTTCTCTTCATTTATGGTGAAGAATACTATACATAATGTATTGAAACCGTTAAATCATATTTTCAACGTGTCTTGTAAGCTTGGAGTTTTTCCACGGAGTTTTAAAATAGCTAAGGTTGTCCCTATTTATAAAAGTGGTGAGTGTAATTCTCCTTCTCACTATGGACCAATATCGTTGCTTTCTTCTAAATCCAAGGTTTTGGAAAAAATTGTGTCGACACACCTTCGTCGTTATCTTTTTTTAAGATTCGCAATACGGATTCATGGAGGGGATTTTTGGATATTAATCATTATGTTTTACAAAATATGGAGAAAAGACTAACAACTGTTGGGTTGTTATAAAATATAATTAATAAATATAACTCAGTATAAAATTTTAACACATAAACAATGTACATGAATATATGTTAATATGTTCTGTTCATACATAGAGATCAAACAAAAACAAACAAATAAATAAACATAAATATAAGAGAATAACTTCGATTATTAATTCAACTTTATTTATATATATACGCAAACATTTCTTCATAAAAATTCCAATTTCAACCATTCTTATATATCGTCCTCTCTTAAAGACAATCATGTCAAAACAAACATTTATACCATCATCCAAAATCTATAAACAGCATTCACGAGTAGTCATACTTCAACTCCGCTCTCCAATCGTATTTAAATTTAGCATTCGTAAGAAAATCATCCAACTTTTTTTTAAACTCATTCAAATCACTGCAATTAACAACATCATCATTCAAATTATTCCAAAAATTAATAGTTCTATTAACAAAATAATTTTTTCTTAAGTTCGTACGGAATGTCAGTGCTGTTAGCCTCATCTCGTGTCCTCTTCTTCGTCTGGTGGCTCTCAATATTTCCGGCAAGCTTCGTTGGTCCTTTTCATTCAACATGTTAAACATCGTTATCAAATCACCTCTTATTCGTCTGTATTTTAGTGTTGGCAGTTGTAAAAATTTTAATCGGTCCTCATATTTCATTTCCTCACAGTCCCTGATCATCTTTGTCGCCCTTTTCTGAACCTTTTCGATCGCTTCTGTTTCACGTATTGTCCATGGTGACCACACACTTGCTGCATACTCCAACTGAGATCTAACTAATTACTAAAGATTTATATAATAATATAAAAACATTTTTATCAATATCTTTAAAATTTCTGTTTATTAAACCCAACAATGAAAATGCCTTCTTAACATTGCAATGTATATGCTCAATAAATTTCAAAGATGTATCAAAAATAACACCCAAGTCTTTAATTTTATCAACAAAAAGTAATGGGTGCGAGCTTATTTTATAATCATAATTATTATCTAATACAGAACAACCAAACTTCATCACAACACATTTTTCTTTATTCAATTTAACATCATTCTGCACACACCACTCACTCAAATCATTCAACCCCCTCTGCAATACCACACTATCCCTATCTGAGTTAATAATTTTAAACAACTTTGCATCATCTACATACATATACATCGCAACACCATTACATCCTGAAACAATTCAAATAAATCGTTAACACACATTAAAAACAAAATTGGCCCAAGCACACTACCCTGAGGAACTCCACTCTTTACCTCACAATATCTTGACATACCATCATTCACTCTCACACGAAATGTTCTTCCATTCAAATAATTATAAACCCAAGCAACCAATTTGTCATTCAACCCACATTTGTTCAACTTAACCATTAATTTACTATGTGACACTATCAAATGCCTTTTCAAAATCAGTACTGCATTAATTCTATAACCTTTATCAACAGCCCTAGACCATTCCTCCATCAATTTTAACAACTGCAGAACAGCTGATTTTCCCTCCACAAACCCAAACTGTTTTGTATTCAGCAAACCATTTTCAATCAAATGTGACATCAAAGCATCCTTTATTATAGACTCCATCAATTTACATGTTATGCGTGTCAGTGCAACAGGTCTATAATTTTTAGTTTTCTTTTTATCTTCTTTTTTATAAATGGCTGTAACAATACTTTCTTTCCATACATTAGGTATGACTCCCCATTCAAAAGACCTATTAAATAATGAACTTAAGTAATCATAAATAGATTCTTTACATTCAAACAATATCTTTGCACTAATGTTATCAGGTCTAGACGATTTACATACATTCAACAATTTCAGTTTATTGAAAACAACCTCTGGTTCAAAATCAATCACATTCACATATTTATTTAATTATTTGTTTAATTTTATACTACTGCTCGGCATGCTGTAACAATTTCTGCGTCTATCAGATCTTGATATACTTATTTTCCGAATTCATGCTGCCAATAAGGCCATATTTCGATTCCGAATGAATCATCATCAGTGCGATTTAGTTTATATAGGGAAATATTCACTTTGTCAAAGTGAACTTAGATGGAAATTAGGTGTCAGATTTCTTTATTTGCTGGTCCATCTTCGTTGGTTTCCTTTTCTTCATCGATAGCATCATATTCTTTTTTGTCACTATTTACAATGCTAGCTTTTATTACTTCTTTGTTTTCATTGTTGATCAGGCGCCGGGTTGGGAGTGAGGTTGTCATTTTTTTGTTGTATATTTATTTTTGGTTTATTGATGTCAATTAGGACTGCTTCTGCAATTTTAAGATGCGTGAAGTTGGTGTTCTGTCGTAACCGATTTACGACGGGTTCAAATCTTCGATTGAATAAAATACTCCAAACAGTTATTAGTTATTAAACTTTATTTACAGAAGAAATCAGCTAATCGTTTATTTCTAGCAAATTCAAATTAACACAACAATTAACTTTTAAATTGTTCAAAATCTATCGCTATGACAACGTCGACAAAACAAATCAAATATCGCTTTAAATAATTCACCGAATCGCTATTAACAAAATCACAGAGTCACGAATTTAGAAAATCACGAATTTCACTAATCACGGATTTCACTAATCGCTAATCTTCTTGCGACGTGCGCTTATATACTCTTCGCAAGCGTCGTTTCTAGATTCTTCTAGATGGTCCGATTCTAGCATACTCTAGAATGCTCCAGTCACTAGAACATTCTAGAATACGCTAGAATCTAATCACTAATGCGTTCGGTAGCACGGTTATAACAATATAATAGTTTCGATCATACCCTTCAATTATTTTCCCAATATCGTGAACTGACACCAACGATTGCAGTCGAAAACAAGCCAGCAGACGTTTCAGTACCCAAACGATACGAATATCGTTCTACGTCTGACAATTTTCGACCAGTTAATACACAGTTATTAACGTCTCGTCCGAAATCCATGGTCATCACGTCACTTGCTACCTTATTCAATAACTGCTAAATTATTTTTATTTTATGATATTTTTATATTTATATTTTATTACTTATCTTTCTACAATACTTATTTTAATAACGTCATTTTATTTTGTTTCAAATTTTATTTTTTTTATCTTTATCTAAATTATTTATTAATTATAATAATAAATTTTAATTTCTACATACACCTTTTTATATCGTCTTAGTGACTTTCACTTTTAATATCATCCCGCCACGAAACACTTGTTTTTCCCGTCCAACTGAATTGACTTATTATACGTTACTACACAATTTTATTTACCTATCTTCATAATTTTGTTTTAATTTCATTTGTTTAAAACCGTTTATTGTTTTATTGCAATATTTTATTATTACAAGGTACATTTTTTCATATTTTACATTTTCATATTTCTAATTTCCTAATTTCAACGTCATAATTTCATTTCTTGTACTTTTCATTAAATTTCTTTATTTTAATGTTTAAATTATAATTCAATTTTTGATGACTGTATGTCGAAACAATGTTGTAAGCCTAGGATGACACATAATGATAATAAATATGAATTAAAACAGCTTCGTGTTGTCGAAATCCTTATTAAAAAATTAATTAATGCAAAATGGGCAAAAATATTTAACAATATATGCATCAAAGAAAACCTCGTTCCAAAATATATAACAAAGTATATATATATATATATATATATATATATATATAACAAATTTGGTTGAATGTTCTTGCTCATTTTGTATTAATTAGGATTCGATTATTGGAAGGTTGCTGGAAGATTCTGATTATTGCTTATCGCGTATTTTTTGACTATTTTATTAAATTTGAGGAAAATTTCGATTTTTCTTTAGAATTTTCTTTAGATTTTTTTATTTATGTATTTATTTTCTGTTAAATACAAACATAAATTCGAAGAATAGCGAGGAAACGGGACATTAGATGGCCGGAAATACCCAAATGGGTAAAAGAGCCAGAATGGCATCTTTAGAACAACCACCTACCAAAAAATATCAGGAACTTCAAGAGAAGAAAAGGGAGAAAGAAAAATACTTGCCCAGCTACTATGTAATTGAACCTCTGGAAGACTCAGATTTGAACAAAATTTCATGTTTTCGTATCCAAAAAGATATTCTTTCTTCAATTGGTGAAGTTCAAAACATAAAAATAGGAAAAAAAATATAATTCAAATTAAAAACACAAAACATGGAGAAAAACTTATGGTTATGAAAAAACTATATACAGAAAACATTAAATGCTCACCACACAGATCCATAAATTTTTCCAAAGGTGTCATCAAAACTAATATTCTGAAAAATTGTTCTGAGGAAGAAATTAGACAGGAATTAAAACAACTAGGAATTTCAGAAATTAAAAATATAACAATAAAAAAAATGAGCAAATAATCAAGACAAACACTTATATTTTAACATTTCTTATATTTTTAGTGTTTCCGGCATCATGGCGTGTAAACAGAATTTAACGATTAACGAAGTTTTGTGCTATTTATTTAATAATTACGAGTTTTTGAACAACGATATATTTATTAACAATGCGTCCGACTTCTATAGCTCGGAAGAAATCTCGGCTGCCCTCAAACAGATCAAACACGACGTCAATCTCCTAAAGATTGATGTTAATTTCGATACACCACTTGGTCCTAAAAAGAAAGACAAAAGAGACAAACTACGCGAGACCATTCGCTATTTAGGGCTAGTCCGCGAAAAAAAATTATCAACAGAGCTTCCTACATACGTTAGCTCTAACTTATGGGTACCTAATAACGACTCTATTCTTAAATTTAACTTCAATGAAATCAAAAACGACATATGCAATATGCTGCACAATCAGCAACTCTATCTATGCAGCATGCTGAACGCAGCCCCTCGAGTTCATAAAAGTGAACTTAATACCAACAACACCAACGTAAACAATGTTAAAAGCTACTCGGTAGCAGCAGGACAAAAACACGCCTCGTACAGCTCGGATACATCATTTCCCAAGATCGTTCATCCAGCTTCGTCCGTAATCAGCACACCACCATCTGATGAAACCTCGAAGCAGGGAACCCAATCGCTGGTGGATCTCAACGTTGTAGCTGCTCATGCTCATTCTTCACTTTCAACTCCTAACAATAACATCAATAAAAACAACTCTAATTCCAGTGGCCACGAAGGCTCTTGGAGCACTGTTACTTCAAAAAAAAAGAGAAAATACACTCTAATTACTGTAGGTTCCAAACAACCTGGGTCCTTCAAATTATCTGCAGCTCCTTTGCCTCCCAAAAAAATTGTTTTTGGGGTAGGTAAATTGAAAAGCTGCGTCAAAGAAGAGATCCTTGAACATCTGGAAACTATTGGACTGACCGCTGCAGAAAGCGTACCAGTCTTTAAATTCTCTCCCACTTGTCCTCAACCTTCAACCAGTGATCCATCAACAAAATTCCGCATAACTATTTTTAAACATCAGGAGATGATTTTTACCAATCCTGGAAATTGGCCTATCGGCGTGGAAATTTACCCCTGGTTGTTTCATGCTCGACCACAGCATTTGATAAAACCCACTACAACTTCACTACCAAATCATTATCCTGTCGACCTACCAAATGTTAATACACCATCGCTGGTCAACTCACATCAGCATGTAGAAAACACAGTTGATGTAGCTTCCATTTTAACTTCTTCGGAAGAATCCACTCAGCCAGTCAAGTCAGTCACGATGGGTCCTTCTCAGCTGGTCGAACCACATAAACAACAACAAGCCTCATCGATGATGAGTCCTCCCTCCGATGTCAATTCTGCGACATCAATAAATCACGACTATGGCTGTTAACAATACTTATTCCACAATCAATTCTATCCAACAACATCCTCAACCATCAAACAACGACGAAGATGATCAACACTTTAACGCATACAACACCCACATTGACCCCACAAAGAACCTCCTAGATTCATTCACCAGACAGTTATCCTACTACACCACAAGAGATCTACTCAACATTCTAGAAGCCAAGTACATCAACAATCATGATCACCCTCTACCTCTACTTCACATAAACAGCAGAAGTCTTTTAAATAAAATTTCTGACATTTTAATTTTAAATAAATTTTTATCTTATTTTTTTCCCATTATTATTATTTCAGAGACATGGCTGAATGACGAAACCGCTAAACTAGTTCGTATGAATGATTACAATTTGGTTTTTAAAAATAGGTCTGACAGAATAGGTGGTGGAGTCGGAATCTTCATCAGATCAGGCATTGAATTTTCTATGATAAACAATTTTCTTCTGAACGACACCATTATTGACCTTCTTGGTGTCAATTTAAAATTAAACAACACACACGTAAATATTTTAGCAGTATATAGACTCCCCAACACTGACCCTAATATCTTAATCCAAAAGCTCGAACTTATTTTACCCACATTCAAGTCACACATAAAGAGCTATTTAATTGGCAACTTTAACCTTGACCTCAATAAACTCAACAGTGACAACGTCGTTGCTGACTTCTCTAACCTACTATCATCATACAACTTCTTACCTCTTATAACCTCCTCTACTCGCATCTCAACTTCTTCTTGCTCACTCATCGACAATATCTTTACTAACAACCTAACTTCTCACTTATCTGGAATAATTCTGTCTGACATATCTGACCATTTCCCTATATTCGCCATCGCTTCAAAATCAGAAATCTCAAACCATGCCCCTATTAAGCACTTCAGAAACCTAACTGAAGAATCTATAAACAACATCAACAATTTCTTATCGAACTACAACTGGAATTCTTTGACTTCTCTAAAAAATGTCAACGACTTCTGCTCTGTTTTGAATACTATCTTAACTCACTCTCTAGACACTTTTGCCCCCCTCCGTCCTGTCAAAAACAAAAAGAAAAAATGCTGGATCAATGACAACATTCGAAGTCTTGCAAAAAAGAAAAACAAACTATACATCATAAGCCTTAAAATATCCAACCACCCGCAACATTGCCACCTACAAAAGCTTCAGAAACATGTTCACATTTATTAAACGAAAAACTGAACGAGACTACTTCTCTAACAAACTTGAAGACGCACATAACAATGTTAGACAAAAATGGAACACTATCAAAGAAATTCTAAACAAGCAACCTCCTAACTCATCAATCACCAAACTAACTATCAACAACCAAGCAATTGAAAATAAACAAGAAATTTGTGACCTTCTTAACACCCACTTTGCAAACATTGCTAGTCAACTACTCTCAAACCAACCTCCCAGCTATGGTAGTCCTACAGATTTTATGAGCCCATCCACACCCCATTCCATTTGTCTATATCCTGTTATTGAACAAGAAATATTAACTACTGTTAATATCTTGAAAAACAAAAAGAGCTATGCAGACGATGGACTCAACATGTTCCTTATCAAAAGCATAATTTTCTCTATCATATCACCACTTAATCATATCTTCAACTTATCACTAAGCACTGGAATCTTTCCTGACTCATTTAAAATAGCCAAAATCATACCAGTATTCAAGAAAGGAAACAAAGATGACATTAACAACTACAGACCCATCTCCATTCTTTCCCCGCTGTCAAAAATTCTTGAAAAACTTTTTTTTAAAAGACTCTCTAATTTCTTCTGCTCCAACAATACTATCTGCAATAACCAATACGGATTCAGACCCAACCACTCAACTGAGCTTGCTATTCTTGACTTCACTCAGCATATACTAAATGAAATGAATAACAAAAATCTTTCTATCTTATCCAAAGCCTTCGATGTCATCGATCACAAAATACTCCTATCCAAACTACATCATTACGGAGTAAGAGGCACAGCTCACAACTGGATGAGAAGCTATCTTTTATCACGGACACAATATGTTTCCATGGACAACATCAATTCAAAGCACGCTCTTATTCATCACGGGGTGCCACAAGGATCCATACTAGGACCCCTTCTATTTTCTATCTGAGCGAACATTTACATAGTTATATGTCTATATATGTATGACACGAACATTTACTTATTTATCTTCAATTATCTTTCTGCTTCAGTTATTTTCCTTATTTTATTTCATTAACTATTCATGTATCTACCTGCGGTAGCCACCACAAGACAAACAGTCTTATTCGGTCTCCGCATATTCAACTTCATAACTTCTATTCACTTATTTGATATGTTGTTGATTATGAATAAAACTTTGAAAATGAAATGAACACACACACACACAAAAGAAAATCCATGCAAGAACAATACCAAATGTTATCATTGTAAAGGAAATCATACAACATATGACAAAACCTATAAAAAACAAAAAGAAATTATTAAAACAAAAATTGAAAATAAAATTTCCTTCCCAGAAACAAAACAACTAATTAATAAAATGAAACAACAACAACAAACTACAATTGCAAATATAGTCTGAAAAACCATCCAAAAGATAGACAAGGAAGTCACATGCAATCTAATTTATGCAGAGCCACTTATTAAGATAAACAAAATTTAAAAAAAACCAACAAGACAGCACTAAACCTAAAATAGACAACAAAAACACATCACAATTGGCACACCAAAGCATGGACACAGAAACAGAAAAAGTTTTCATCACTCTGGATGAAACAGAGGAAGCTTGTAACAATTTGACCAGAATAAATAATGAACATCTATCTAATAAAGATGAATAAATCCAAAAGTACAAATGACAATAAAAACAATAAAAAAAAAGAAAATATTAAATTGCTGCAATGGAACATAAGAGGTCTCCAGAGCAACTTTCTGGAACTTCAAATTCTATTAGATGAGCAGAAACCACACATTATCTATCTCCAAGAAACTAAAACAAATCCTAATAAAGAAATAAATATCAAAAATTATGTACGATACTCAAAAACTTCTACTCCATCACGATCCAACCCTTCAGGTGGAGTAGCAATTTTCATAAATAACAAAATAACACAGTCACTCATCAAAATTGAAGAAAATCTTAATTTAATAGCAGTTAAAATTACAACAAATAAAACACTTACCATTTGTAATATGTACATTTCTCCAAACTCAGTATTTCAAGCTGAGTCAATATTAGAAGCTATTAAAGATATTCCACGACCTCTGATCCTGCTAGGGGATTTCAATGGCCATAACTACCTTTGGGGCAGTCAACAAAATAATAGACAAGGTAAAAATATAGAGAAGTTAATTACAAGAGGGAACCTATGTCTAATAAAACCTACAGGCCCCACATATTTTAATGCCGCATCTTGTACTTTTTCCACGATAGACCTGACCTTGGCCTCTCCAAACATACAGGAGGATGTCATTTGGAAGGTTAAGCAGGATCTTCACGGAAGTGATCACTACCCAATATTAATTGAAATAATTAACATACACGAAAAAATAACAAACAGTAGTAATTTAAACTATAAAAAAACCGATTGGATAAAATTTAGAAAAACATGTTCACATATTTTTTCACAGTGGAGGGACTTAGACGATATTTCGATGGAAAAATGGATTCAAATAATAAAAACATCATTAGAACAAGCAACACCTGTAATAAAAAATAATAACAATAAGGTTTTAAACCCATGGTTCAACAAAGACTGCAAAGAAACCATCAAAAACAAATTAGAACATCTTAAAAAATTTCAAAAAACCCGACAATTAATAACTTAATTGAATATAAAAAAGCAAAAGCTGAGGCACGTAGAATAATAAGGCAGGAAAAAAAATTTGCTGGAATAGATACGTAAACAATATAAAAACTACCACACCAATTGCAAAAATATGGGACATGATTAGGAGAATAAAAAACAAAAGTACTGAAAGTCGAATAAGCCATTTCCAATACCAAAGAAAAAGTCAGGAAACAGATGAGGAAATAGCCAACACACTAGCAACTCATTTCCGGAATAAATCCTTAATGACCAACCATAACACAACCTTCATAAAATATAAAATGGAAAAAGAAAAAACACCTTTAAATTTTGAATCTAATAACATCGAACAATATAACCAACTATTTACAATAAAAGAAATTAAAGACGAAATAGAAAACAGCACCAACTCTTCTCCTGGCGAAGACCAAATTATTTATGAGGTATTAAAAAATATTCCAATCATAACAACTGAAAACTTGTTAAACATCTTCAATAAAATCTGGACTAACTCAACAATTCCACACTCATGGCACCATGCCATTGTCCTCCCCTTTAATAAGCCAGGCAAACCAAAAGAAAACCCAGATAGTTATCGTCCAATATCCCTAACCAGTTGCGTTAGTAAAATCTTTGAAAAAATAGTTAACAGAAGATTAGTCTGGTACCTTGATAAAAACAACATAATATCAGAAAAACAATGCGGAGGAAGAAAAGGAAGATTCACTCTGGACCACATAGTCTCATTGGAAACTTTCATAAGAAGAGGTCTTGCCAATAATGAGCAATCTATAACATTTTTTTTCGACGTAGAAAAGGCGTATGATACTACGTGGCAATATGGGATAATGGAAAACCTCCATAAAGCAGGCCTCAGAGGACGCTTACCCAAATTCATACAAGGATTCATCTCAGATCGTACTATCCAGGTAAGAGTCAACGATGTGTTATCCAAAGTAAACCACCTAGAGATGGGTATACCACAGGGAAGTATTCTATCACCAAATCTATTCTGCCTGAACATCAACACAGTTACTGCGATCATCCCAGAGAACGCGATAGCATGTCTATATATGGACGATTTGACCATAACCATAAAAGATAAACAAATTCAAAACATTGAAAAGGAGATAAACACGATTTTAAAAGACATAGATAAGTGGTCGAAAGAAAATGGAATAAATTTCTCAAAAATTAAAACGACCAGTATGCTTCATACCAAAAAAAAGAAAAAAATATATCCAAGAATTATTTTCCAGAATACATATATAAACTGCAAACCAGAAGTCAAGTTTCTAGGTATAATTTTTGATGAAAGATTAAACTTTATTCCTTAAATTGTCTATATAAAAAGTAAATGCATAAAAGCATTAAATTTGATTAAAACCTTATCCCATTACAAATGAGGAGGAGATCAAAACACACTCTTAACAATATATAGAACCACAGTAAGAGCTATATTGGATTATGGTTGTCAGGTTTATGGAGCCACAAGGAACTCATATATCAAGACAATAGACCCAATAATCAACGAAGCTTTAAGAAGATGCCTGGGTGTATATCACACATCACCATCAAACAACCTTCATGTTCTTGCATTAGAAATTCCAAGACATCTGAGACATATAAAGTTGAAATTAAATTTATATATGAAATTGTAATCTCAAAAGAATAATCAAGCTCACAAAAACACATCCAAAATTTTAAGAGTAAACAAAAAAAAATCAAAGGCCATACCTATCCTTGCAGAAAGAGTAGAGGAACATATAAAAAAACTAAATAACATAAAAATCATGCAGGAAACATTTTTGGTAAATTCCCCTTGGAATAAAAAAACCCCAGAAATAGACATGTCAATTATGAAATATAGAAAAAGCTCAAGCCTAAGTAAAATTGCCTTTTACGAAATAATAGAAAAACATACAAAATATATCACAATATCACAAGGAAAGAAGGATCAACATCAGCAGCAGCAGTTATTCCTAGTCTCAAACAAACCATACTCCAGCATCTTCCACCATACTCATCAATATTCACAGCAGAGTTGATAGCAATTAACATGGTACTGGACCATATTAAAAATGCCCAAGGAAACCATTTTCTGATAATCACGGACTCCTTATCCAGTCTAGTGGCAATAAATTCTGACAGAAACAGTAACCCTCTAGTAACAATTATAAAAACCAAAATACACAATATAATAACTAATAAAAATGTAATAAAACTAGTTTGGAGCCCTAGTCATGTTGGAATAGTGGGCAATGAAAAGGTGGACCAGGCTGCTAACCTAACACACTCGCTCCCAGTATCAAACATACCTATACCAATCTCCGATATGAAACCTATCATACATCAATACATTATATCTTTATGGCAAAGAAATTGGAACCAAGTCAATAACTTTCTAAAAATATCAACACCCAAAGTAAACAAGCCAAATCCAATAGTATCACATCTGGAGAGAAAGTATCAAACGTTGTTAAATAAAATTAGAATTGGGCATACAGCATTAACTCACTGATGGATATACACAAAATCTTCGCCTCCACGTTGTAATACATGCGGTACAAGAATAACCATTCAGCACGTCATCATAGATTGTCAAAAATATCAAGTAGGAAAATCCATAATATCCCGACCAACATGCAAGAAATATTTGAAGACCCAATTAATATAGAGAAATAAATTTAATTGATAAAATATAGAAATAAATGAAAACAACTACATTCAAGTATAAACTCAGATAAGAAAAGAAATAGGCGTGAAGATAGCCTTTCTGTGCTGATACGCCGGAAATTAGCAATAACAACAATAACAACAACAGTATTAATTAATTTCTTTTGGGTCAAACCCAAAAGAAATTAATTTATACAAAATGGGCAAGAACATTCAACCAAATTTGTTATACTTATATTAACTACCAAAGTTTAAAAACATCTCAACTAATCATGAAAAATAATTGCCTTCCTGCAACTACTCAACTACAACAAAGTTATCTAATATATGAATATAAATGCTCCGTCGGTGAATGTTTGCACCGCAACAATGCTTCATATATTGTCAAGACGTTTGACCATGCATCTACAAGATGGAGCAATCAAACAACATTATCAACAACAGCATAACATCACTTTAACACGACAAATGTTAAATAACACGCAAATAGTTTATTGTAATAATAACATCACAAACCTGAAAATAGCTGAATCAATTTTCATACAAAACAAAAATCCATCCATGAACATTCAAGTACAGTCTAACAACATTCTACCTTCAAATAGACTACTAAATAAAAACAACAATCATTATAGTTATAACAACAACAATTACGACAACAGCAATAATTATAACAATGTTATCGCCAACCATATTGATGATGTAAACAACAATCATACCAATAGTGACAACCTTAACAACAACATCAACAACACCAACAACAACATTAACAACAACATCAACAATAACAACAACAACAGTGCCAACACTGTAGATACCAATGCTAC